GCGCGTCAATATTCAGGTTGGCGCCTTGGCTGGTCTGCCGAATGTGCAAAGGTCGAAATCGAGAGTTTCTGAGCGCGGTACTTGCCGTCGTAGCGAGCAAGACAGCAAAAGTCTTGGCGCAGCCGGCGATCCGCAAAAACGCGATCATAGTTTGGACTAGTTTGTTGGAGACCCGTGTCCGTATAAGCTGTTCTTGCGATTGAAAAGTATGCCCCGAATGTTCGTTGCCGTCCTTTGCTGAGTAGCGGTAGTCCACGTGCCGTCTGGTGGTTGGGCTATGATGGCTGCTGTTTGGCCGCTAACAGCATGTCGCAGCCAAATGTCAGTGTCCTCTGGTACTGCTAGGTCGCAAGGTGGGCCCGGCTGATTTTTTTGTTCAAAAGAATACAAAAAAAGCCACCAGTTCTCGCTGGCTTTGTTTGGTTACCTGTCGGCAAGGTGGCCCGCGTCCAAGTGCGGAGCAGTGCTGAGGGCTGAGGGCCCTCGGGCGACTTGAACGCCAAGCGTGCCTGTAGACAAAAGAAAGAAAGACGAGCAACTACTGAGGAGGCCCCCATCTGCCGCGAGGGGTGCCAGGCATCCTGGGCGGCAGCGCCTCGGTACCTTGCTCAGAAGGAGGGGGAGGGGGGAGAGGGGGGCGTCGGGAAAGTCTGCGCGCAATGGCAGGCGTTCTGCCAGACCACGCACTAGACAAGACCTGGCGCCGACGTGCGGCGACCCGAAGACGGGCCTCGAAGTGCTCGGCGGGGGTGCCAGCACGAGAGAGGCGTCGGGCATTATGAGCAGCATGGAAGGCATCGCAGCACGCAACACACAACAGGCAGACATTAGGAGGCATGCGGAAGAGGAGGATGAGGAGGCATAACCAGAATGGACGCTCGCCATTGGGTTCACGGATCGGTCCAGAATATATATCCAGATAGGGCCCCAGCCAGAACTTGAGAGGGTCCCAGATCCCAGGGCAGGAACAGTAGTGATCAATCGAGTCCAGGTCTTTCTCAGGAGACGGCGGAGCACGCCCAAAGAGGCATCCAGCGGCCTGACAGTGGAATCTCGCACCCGTGTTGAAAGACGCTGTGAGCAGGCGCAGCGGGGCAACGCCAATATACATAGATGTGTCTTTCGCAACGCGCTTCACATTCGAGCAGAAGTCCGAAACCATAGAGGCACACGCCTCAGGGAGGAAATACTGAGCACGTCTGAGGAGGATAGACTGGGCCTGGTCCGTGGGGGTGTGCATGCGGATAAGAGCGTACAGCTTGGATTGAAGTGTCTTACTCATGATGTCAAGGTTAGGGCTTATGCTAGAGCACCATAAAGATAGGCCACGCATATACGAAATGAACAAGTACTGATGCCAACCTCGGTGCCAGCGATACGGAATATGTTCAACATCATCACGGGCAGCCTCAAGGTCAGCAATAACCTGCGTAAACACATCAGAGCGGAGCGAGTACCTGATGCACGCGGCCTTCGCCACCGCATGAACGTCTATGAACTCAGCGCCGAGACATATCTCTTTAAATTTGGGGGCAAGGTTGTGCGAGATAGCATTCCTCGGGCCAGCCGTTCGGAGAAGCACGCCTTCCTTAAAGATCTTCGAAATGGCCTGGTTAGGAGGGTACATCTGGAACCTGAACAATAGAAGCGAAACACACATGACGCGAAACGACACCGCAGAGAGAGCAAGACCAAGACCCAGACCACGAGTATGCCGAATGCGATGATGAAAACGAGGAGCGATGTCATCCCAGACGTGAATGTGGCCCTCGGGACCGATAGGAATGCCCAAATACAGAGCCCAAGAACAGACCACGATGTCCTGGAAAGGCGAGCCAAAGGATTCAAGGGTGGCCTTCAGGAAGTCCTTATTCATATCACTACAAATAATAATCTGGCACTTCTTAAAGTTCAAGCGGAGGTTGGCAATCTTGGCCAGGAGCATGAGTGCCGATAGAACAGGCCCTAGATCGCGCAGAGTATTGACCAAGCCGAACAAAAAGTCATCCGCATATGCAAGGTTGATGCTGATATTGATGACACACCAATGTGCGAGCCAGCGAAGCAGAGGATCGACGCCAAGAACAAAGAGGTGCATCGATGCAGGACAACCTTGTTTAACACCCGATGCGATGTCAATCCAGTCAAACCGACGAGATGAAGTGGTAATCTGAGCCGTGTGATCCTCATACATCATTTCAAAGAACTGAAAAGTGAGCCCGGCTGATGATCACTGGCCGGGTTTTGCTTTAGGTTGTGCTGTGGGTCACAAATGTGCCTGTCTTTCTGAAGCAGGATCAGTATGTGGGATGGTTTCGTCGTGTTGTCTATAAAGGGGACGGAGATGTACCTGTGGGTCGAATGTAGTAGCTGGCGGTCGGATTGCTCTCAAATCTGTCTTTTGTGACCTTCTGGCATGAATGCTGGTACGATATCTGCGTCCGACAACTTGGTTGACAGCTCTGCCTTTTTGCTGTAATGCCTGCAGGGTGTCGAACGGTAACGGCGGCACGCGTTGCATATAGATAATAGCTTTTGTATCGGTCTCCTCTTCATGCTCCTCCTCCTCCTCTGCAGCTCTTCTCCTCTCTCTGCTCCCTCTGCCTCCTCCTCCTCCTTCTCTGCTTCCTCCTCCTCCTCCTCCTCCTCTGCAACTCTTCTCCTCCATCTGCCTCCTCTGCCTCCTCCTCCTCTGCCTCCTGCCTCCTCTGCCTCCTCTGCCTACTCCTCCTCCTCTGCATCGCTTCTCCTCCTCCTCCTCCTCTGCCGCTCCTTCCCCCCTCTGCCTCCTCATTCTCCTCCTGTGTGTCAGCGCCGGAGCGTGCTCGTCCACCGAAGCCACCGAGCGCGACGCGGGAAACGTGATCAGGGCTGGCACAGACTGCTTGTTCATTGTTGGTGGAACAAAGCGGGGCAAGCACGGACTCTGGGCCGACACAGGCCGCAATGATCGTCGGATTCGGTGCTGGTCTGGCGATTATCGCTGTCAATCGGCATGGAAACTCCTACCACGAAGCTATTGGGACTGTGATCCGGCAACATTTCCAGACGCAAATCGTCGTCCTTGCGTGCATGGCTTCCCGTGGGCCCACACGGTTGCAGACTGTGATTCTCGGACCGAGTGCAGCGTGGCCAGCCAGACGCAGGTCGCTGTCCTTTCGCGCGTCTGGTCTCTCAGGGCCCCGAGCCGCTGCGCACTGTGCTTCTTGGACGGGCTTCTGCATTTCCAGACACAGGTCGGCGCCCTTCGCTGCCAGGCCCTTCTCCTGACTGGCAGTCTACCTTGGCTTGTCTGGCCGCTTTGCTGTGTGAATCGCTGCTGGTGCACAATTGTCTTGTTATGCCGTTTCGGGCGACTTCCAGTCCAGAGTCCAACTTTGACCTTGCTCCCTTCGCTCCTTCCATCCTTCGCTCGCCCTCGCTGGGACGTCCATTCCCTGTGGATTTGTCGGTTTCGTGCCTGTTTTCTCCGCGAGATGGTCCAGGATGCTCCTCGATGGTCCTCGCCGGTTCTTCTCTTTCTCGCCCACGGTCAGGCCCGGTGCTGTGTGCGTTGTGTTGGTGGTCTTCGCTAGTTCGTCAAGCGTGACCAAGGGGTAGCCGGAAGCTGTCGGCCTGGCGCCCTCGGGTTTCCCCTTGCCCCGGGTGGCGTGGGGTCAGACCTTGCGTCTACACAGACGATTGCGACCTCTTGGTCACGCGAACCAGCAGGGGGAGATAGGAAGGCACCAACTATACACCAACACCGATCCTGGCCAGGATCACCCTGGGCCCAGGATCGGTGTATACGCCATCCTGCCTTGCGGAGAAAGGCATATACACCGATCCTGGGCTCAGGGCGATCCTGGGCCAGGATCGGTGTTGGTGTATAGTTGGTGCTCTCCGAGGAGAAGAGAGAGGAACACGGTGAGCTGGGCCACCCTCAGGACAGGCAAACACACAACAACCCCTCACGAGCGGCGAGCATATCCGTATCCGCGCCCTCGCGGTGTGGATTCCAGGGCACGGTCCCGCGGACACGCGGTCGCACGGCGCGGGGCATCCGAGAAAAACGCACCGTATCCGCGGGGTCGCGGCCCCAGGGCCTGGCCCGCGAGGCCGCGGATACGGACAGACGTGTCGCCCACGAGCCCTGCTGGACCCACCACATCTGGGAGTCGTGCTCCGACTCCTCCGTTGGGCTATTAGTACACGCAAACGTGACGCTGGGCAAGAGAAAAAACCCTGGTGCGCGGCCCTCGGAGAGGGAGGGGGAGGAGGAGGAGGAGGAGGAGGAGGAGGAGGAGGAAAGGGAGGAGGAGGAGGAGGAGGAGGAGGAGCAGGAGGAGCAGGAGGAGGAGGAGGCTGATAAGGAGGGGGGGCGCCGAACCCAGGCGCGCAAGCCGCTGCTGCCGCCTCGGCGCTCGAGGGAACTCTGGGCCGGCCCGCGCCCAGAGGTCACTCTGGCGAAGGGCCACTCTTTGTGTGCAGCTGCAGACGATCGGGTCGGGCGAAAGGGGGGGATAGCAAAGGGGGGGTTTGAGAATCAGCTCACGTAATTAGCTGATTTTCCCGGCGCCTCCCGGCGCCGGAGGCGCCCATGTATCGAGGAATGGGCCCCTCGGTGAGGCCGAAACCAGCTGCATGCAGCAGATTTCGTAACCCCCCCTTTCCCAATCCCCCCCTTTCGCCCGACCCGAGACGAGCGCGTCCCACTACTCGCAAAAATAACTGCTCGCAAATGGCCTGGACTCGCGGTGGGGGATCTGCGACAAACTGCGTCAAGAAGCAGGCATCTGTTTTTTTCAGACGTCTGCGAGTGGGCACTCTGCGAGGAGCGGAGCACGCTCGGTGAAGTCGGTCGACCCCGTCCCCAGCGGCACGCGAGGCCGAGCAGTGCCGCCCGGTCGTTCGGTCCTTGCGGCAAGGTCAAATCGGTCTGTGGAGCACGGGCGGCGGCGGCACAATGCCGCGGGCGGCGACCGCGCCCGAGGGAGCTCCCGCGGAACAGATACGCATCTTCAGGGCACGGTTTCCGACCGCTGCCAACTGCAGGTATTAAAGGGAAATTAGGACACACAAGTAAATACACACTAATAAAATGAGTCCCCATATTTTCCCATATTTTCTGGCTTTTTGTCTTCCCCCCCCACTTCCCATATTTTCCCATTTTTTCCTGGGAATCGACGATTAATGGAAGGACGCAGGGCTCAGAGGAGAAGCAGCGACCACCACCGCCGAGAGACCACCGGGGAGGACCGACCCGCGGGCGGTGGCACGCCCGGGCGTCGCCCCCGCGTCGGTGGCATTTCTGGTTTTTCTCTACACCCTGCGAAATGCTTAAGAAATCATGGGTTAAGAAATTCATAGTCTCAGAAATTGAATAAAACCCAGAACTTCTATCAAAATCTTTGGATTTACATTGAAAAATTAAGAATAATCGAGACTCTGGACGAAAATTTAGGTTTTCTTAAGCATCGCCTAAGGTGTACGGAGCTGCATGGACATAAACGTTCGGAGGTCTTGGCGATCACCGGATTCGGCGCTGAACACCTCTCCCCGCATCCCTTGCAGAACCTCTGGCGCCACCCCTGGCGCCCGGGACCTCATGGTGCCGACCCAGGAACCCCGCACGGCAAGTCCGTGCAGCGACGACCAAGACATCGGTCCCTCACACCGCGTGGATCGTTCCACCTTGGCCGGTCTCGGGCGCCGAGGGGGGCAGCCCCTGCGCCGGGTGGGTCTGCAAACGTCTCGCCCACCAGCCCCCCGTGGGCGCCCGATGCGATGGCGTGGTCCGCCCAAGTCTGGTCCGGTGACCGCCCGCGGGCGCCGACGTGGCTTTCTGCTATTGGCTCCACTTTCGAATTTCGCACTGCAACTTTCAAACGGTTCGGTCTCGCCTTTCATTTGCCCAACCGCTACCGCTCCCGCCAACACCCCTGTACACCAATACCACCATGCGTACACTCTCGCTTATAAACAGGAAAAAACAGTTTCGCAATCATTCAGCGCACAAGTATTGAACACCACTAGGTTGCGCATCGCAGAAAATTGCAGGTTTTCTGCCCGCGCGCACTTGCTATAATCATGGGGGGACCATCTGACTTCAACAATCATTCAGAGCCCGCACTCTCATCTAATCACGCGGTGCATCCGCGGTTTCCCTCATTTGCCACATGCGCGCGCTGTCATGCGCGCGTGTCGGCATCATTCCTTCAAAAGCAATGAACAACATGACGTTTGCAGAACAAGTTGCGGGTGGGAGGATGGGATCTTTGCGCGAGCAGTGAATTTAACAACTCATTAGTGGCAACATGAATTGCACCACGGGCCGCCTCGTGGGCGCCCCGTGCCCGCCCCGTCGTGCCCTGGGTGCGTCCGCCGAGGTCGGGCCCGGGCCCCCGCCCGTGCGCGGGCGCGTCGCGGGGGCTCGCCGAGGTTTCGCCGCCGGGTGCCGGCCCATGTGCGCCCTGGGTGGGGGGCCAGGAGGAGGGTAAGCAGGAGGAGAAGCAGGAGGAAGGCAGTGAGGACCAGAGGACAAGGGGGAGGATCAACGTGATCGAAATGTCAAGACGGTTGAGGTTTCGGACCTCGGAGATGAGCGCCGCACCAAAGGGGCAACGCCCGCTGGTGAGTTGGACTTTCCTGAGAGGAAATGTCGCGTTTCAGGCCACACGGGCCCCTGAAAAGTGGCATCCCACGCGTGAAAGAAGACAGCTCCACGTAAACGAACACGTTTCGACGGTCCGCGCGGTGTTTTTGGATCGGCAATTGAGCACCCCTGGTGGCCCCGATCCAGAAAATCCGCGCGGACCTTCATCCACCCGATACGGCGGTGGTCTGCAGGGGCGGTGTCGTTTTGTTTCGGCCAAGTAGCACTCGGGGGAGGCGGACTCGGGTTCGGGGGACTCGGGTTGGCCTGATGAGGCCATCGCGCAAATGACGAAATCCAACAGAGAAAAGACACGTTGTGGTTTCATCGATGTCCATTCATTTTTCTGTTCCCAAACGGGGCGGGGGGTTAGGGGAGTGTCAAGGTACCCTCCTAGACAAAAGTGCGTCGAACTCTGTCCCACCTGTCACCCCAACAACGAAATAACACCCGAGCGTCAGCATCGCCAAGGAACACAACACATGCCATGCGCGCCGCAGGATCCAGGTGCACCAGGCACCCTGGAAACCCAAAAGTACCAAGTGCGGCACATGTTCCACATGCGCCAATTGTGCCGCGTGCTCCACCCGCGCCAGGTGCGCTGCCGGCTACGGGGAACCAGTAGGGATTCCAGGTGCCTGGGGCCCTGGTCCCAAGGAGCTCAAGATCTTGAACCACCCTGGAGCGAAGTGCCGAGCACTCAGTGAGAAAAGGCGGCTCCTCCAGGGAACGCAAAAAAACACCAGCACCAATAGCTCATTGTGACATCTTGAGGTTTCGTGAAACAGGTGAGAACACAAAAAAGAAGGCCTTGCACATGATCCACTGGCACCCCCGCCGTCCTTTTCAAAATACAATGCAAAGTGGTCGCGGGGCGCCCGCGCATGCTACATACTTGGGGGAAAAATGAATGTTGTATTGTTTTGTTTCGACGAAAGATGGTGGGGGGGCTCGCATTGGTACGGGTTGGCTGCCCGTCGCCTGGGAGAAAGGGTGCTAGTCAATATGGGGCAGTGATAGAGAGGGGGGTTATGGGGGCGGGGGCAGGGGTTGGAGGTAGGGGGGGGTCAAGTTAGCCAGCTCGAACGAGCCAGAGGGCTCCGTCCACTCCCACCCGCCCTCCAACAACATAAGAAGCAAGTGCGTCGCGTCCGACGCGTGTCGCTCATCTCATATCGTGGGCGGCTAGACGTTCAGCGCGCGACATGAGCTGCGTCCTATTCCTGCCGGGTATTGAGCAACGTCGACGAGAAACAAAACCGCGCGCGATGAACGCCGCGCCCCACTCTGGCCTCTCATGTTGCATCGTCGGCGACAACATGTCCAGCGCGCGAAATGCGGCGAAGCGCATTTGCTGGAGGCATTATGACTTGCCGCCCGCCCAACTCGTCAACCCGACGGGCCGCAGCGTCGACGACAAAAAAAAAAATGTTGACGAGCAGGCGTCCCCACGCGATGCGCGCCGCGTCCCATTCCCGCTACGCGATTCGCAGCGCCGACGAGGAGGAAGTACAGGTTGGCAAGACAAGCGTCGACATTGCAGTGTTTTTTTGCCAAGTAGGAAGTGGGTCCCGCGTAGTGTTGGCCAGGCGTCCGCGCGCGATGTGAGCCGCGTCCCATTCCTGCTATACTTTTCGCAACGTCGAAGAAAAGAAAGCCCATGGCGACGAGAAAAACGTTGACTTTGTATAGATTTCTGATGAACAAGACGCGACCACCCACTTAGGGTCGGCCAAGCGATGTTCATTCCGTCCCATTCCTGCTACATTTTTCGCAACTCGACGACATGCTGGCGAGAGAAAAATTGAGTTTGTGTTGTTGCTATCGGCCGGCTAGGTGGGGATGTGGGGTCTTTAATCCTAGGAAGTAACGATCGGGAGGGGAGGGGTCCTGGGTTAGATTGCTGCCCCCTAGGGGTCCCGGCGGGTCCCGGAGGGTGGCCCCACATGTGGACAACGGGGACAGGGAAGGGTTCCATCTGTGGGCCCTGGAGTCCTTGGAGGGGTCGGCGGCAGCGGCCGTAAGGCCGTCATAATCCAGCGATATTTGAGGACATCTCGGGCGCCAAGGCCTTCTCAGAGCCTTCCGTAATGCTCTGGAAGCTTCCTGGAACGCTCTGGAACGGATTTATCCTCGTCCTGACCCCGCCCGATCCCCCCTCTTGTCCGACCCGATCCGTCCGGAAGCTGAATCAGTGTCAGAATCGAATGGGGAAGTCGGATCGGATCGGAGCGTGCTTCAGATCGGGCCGCATCGGCGCAGATTTCGAGATCGGTCGGACTGGCGGCGTAAGAACGCACAACTACGCCATGCCAGCAACGAGCCGCATCGCATCGTCTGGAAATCGGAATCGAATCGGAACGCGCGAGCTGGAATCAACATCGAATCTTGGCGGCGAGCCTGGGGGAACGTAAAGAAGCGGCGGGCTTTCTCAAAGGCTGGGCCCTGGGGCTTTCTGAAAAGTGTGCCAAGCCTTCCCCGAAAAGACAAGCAACTTCTCCGAAGGCGCGAGGACTTCTGAGAAGTCCCGCCGCTTGCTGAGAAGGCCCTCTCCATCTGGTTTTCCCCCTTCGCTCGCCTCCGAGAATCGTGTCGATCGAATCGAGACCCAGACCCGCGACGTCATGATTTTGTCCGAACGTCGACCCCAAGCGGCCTTCACCCATTCCCCGGGACCGTTTTCTCATATCGAACAGTTCTTTGACGGCACCAAAGCCCGGGAAGGGCCCCCAAATGCCGAAAACCAAGAAAGACCGTAAGTCGTGATCTTCTCACGACCCGAGGGGGTCTGGGGGTGGGCCCTGGGGACGCCTGGAGTGACCCTCGATGGCGCTGCCCGACAAACTCGGGGACGCACTGACCTGGGTCACTGCAAACCTGGGTCAGTCAGGCCTTGCAAGATGCCACGCGATCCTGCAAGATTCCGCACGCAGACCCGGGCCAGTGCACCGCTGGCCCTGCAGGATCTTGCGAGATCCAGCACTCTGACTGACCCCTGTTTGCAGTGACCCTCGCGATGGGCACGGCCACGGGAGTCCTCCTCCCTCAACCCCATGTTCCTCCTCGCCCTCCTTCCTCCACTGCCCCTCCTCCGCCTCCTCCTCCTGTGTCCCCGTTGCCTTTGGGGTCGCAGTCAACGACCCACCCCCCCCCCACCCCCGTCCTCGTCCTCTTCCTCGTCCTCGTCCTCGTCCTCGTCCTCGTCCTCCTCCTCCTCCTCCTCCTCCTCCTCCTCCTGCTCCTCCTCCCCTCGGGGGACGAGGCCGCTGCGGCCTCGGCTCCCGGAGGCCGCAGGTCGCGGCCGCTGCTGGCCCAAGGAGGTCGGCGCGCCCTCCCCCCCCTCGCCGTGCGCTCGCTGCCCCGCGGCGACGGGAGCGGCGCGCAGAGCCCCCCTCAGAGCGGCTGCGAGGTGTCGATGCGCGGCATCCTGCGGGCGCTGTGCGCCGTCGTGCGTCGTGCGGCGTGCGCCGTCGAGCGTCGTGCGTCGTGCGTCTCTTGTCGCGATCGTCGTGGTCGTCGCCGTCGCCGTCGTCGTCGTCGTCGTCGTCGTCGTCGTCCGCCGTCCGCAGTCGTCAGGTCGCGTACGTGCGCGGCGTCAATCGACATCGTGCGCTGTCGCTGGTGGTGCACATGTGCGGCATCCTGCGGGTGTCTGTTTTGCCTGTCTCTCTCTCTCTCTCGCTCTTTCTTTTTCTCTTACTCTCTTTTTTTTTTTCTCTCTCTCTCTCTCTCTGTATACCCCCCTCTCGTTCTACGCATATATACATGTGCGCATGTTTCGGTATAGCTATGTATCTGACGATGTACACATATGTATATATATATACATCGATATCTGTTTGGATAGATCCACGCGCTCGCGCTTCGCGCGCGCTTAGAATCTACTCGCAGCTGCGCCACGTTTTGCGGCTCTCGCTTTCGCTCGTGTGATCAGCGACATTGCGAATTCCGCTGCATGTGGGCGGTGCTGAATCTCAATCCGCGTCGGGCCCCTCCTCCTTCCCGTCTTTCGCTTTTCTTTCTATCCCATGTCCTGCTCCTCCTCCTCTCTTCCGTTTGCAGCTGCTCATCTTCCTCCCTCCTCCTTTTTTCTCCTCCTCTGCCTCTTTCTCCTCCTCCCGAATGTTCCCAAAGAGGTCTCCTGGAATGTATGGGCAGCTGTTCTCCACCACCCTGGCAGGGATCGTGGCTCAAAGGGAACTCCACCTGCAGCCCTGGAGGGAAGGTTCGCATGGCGTCTTCACGCCAACTTCCAGCACACACCTCACACGGATCGCGCCCAATCAGGAGCTCCACCGACTCCATCTATCGCACCCATCGCCAAATTTCCACGGCGTCCCCACGACCAGTTCGACGCCGCTACGCGCGGATCGCGCACCAAAATGAGCTCCACCTGCGGCCTCAGTGGGCGCCCTCGCGGTGCGGCCACTCCTTTCACGCGGATCGCGCCACACAGGGAGCTCAGCGTGCCTACGCATGCTACCTCCGCAGCGACCCTCTATCCGGTCTACCCCTCGTCGTGTGATATTTGAAGAGGGAGCAGCACCCTGCGTCACACGCAGCTGCATAGGGGTAGGCCCTTCGCCAGGCCAAATGCTTTCTCTTCTCTGTAAAATGCACACATCGATGAACACAGACATACAATCGCGAATGCATACATACGTGCGTACGCAGTTACACATATATATATATATATACACCCACGCATAGAAACAACACCTGCGCCGAGCAGGCGGCGCCCCAGGAACGGGCCAAGGTTGTGGACCAGAGGCCGCTGGTAAATGTATGATATTCAGCATGCCGTGAGCTCGCCCCTGCCAATCTTTTTGGCTGATCGGTCGCCTGGGTCTGCGAGCGCCCGATCGAGGGCCCAGATGCTGACGGGCAGGTGGTCCCCAAATAATCACTGTCTCTCACTTGCACTTGCCGTGCAAGCTGGAAGTCGACGAAACACTTCTGAATGATAGGTCTGGCCCCCGTCGGTAAAATCCAATGGTGTATTTTGGCATGGCCGTAGTAACCTATGCACGTGTTCTCGATGTGGTAGAACGACGTGCTGACTGGCATGTGGTGCCGTTCGCGGAATCATCGTGTTCTCCGTGCCGCGTCGTGCACTTAGGTTATTTCCTGGATGCACTACGCGCCTTCGTGGGTCTTCTGGATCCCGAACTGGTCGTTGATGTCCCCGAGTATTAATGGCATCGTCCTGGCCCCCCTTGTTTCTCAATGCCCTATCCAAGAAGCTCAGGGTCACACCAGGTATGTCGTTTCTCTGTATATGGGTGCCCAGTGACCTGGGTGGAAAGTATGTTCCACATGCTACGGAATAGTGTCCCCCTTTGTCGTCGTGTAAATGCACCTATTGTGCCGCATGCTTGACCGTGCGCTGGGGGCTCGGGGATCTTCGCGACGCGTCTAAGTCTGAATCTCCTTCCCAAGAAGAATACGAACTCACAAATTCTGATCGAATGCGTACGTTTGTCCACTTGGGTCAAGGTTCCGTGTGTTTGTCGCTTATATGCGGCCGGCCCTTTGCGCACTCCACGACACTGCGTTCCCACCGCCACCGCCGCACCATAGAACTTGAACGCCTGAGAAATCATTGCCTCCGCGTCCTCCCTGAGACTCTGCACGTTGAAACCAACTGCCTTCAAAATAAATGCACGAGGCACCAAAATCGCGCGCGATGGCCCCTGGCCGCAGCTAAGAGGAAAAGGGGCGGGCGGCTCTGGGCCGCGGTGTATGCGCCCGCGCAAAAGCCTGCCTGGGCAAACGCTGAGGAGGGCGAGCAGGAGAACACTGAGGGTACTGGCAACATGGGCACTCCATGGTGCCCATCGCCGCACGGCGCCAAAGAGCTTAATCGCCATCGATAAGCTCGGGTGCCTCGTCCTGAAACCTCTGGCACGACCTCTGCGCGAGATCATCCGGGGAGGCGAAACTATGCAACTTGGCTGCTGAAACAGCCTGTAGGCCCCGAAAGCGAAGGGGGCGAAAACTCCCCCTCGCACCAGACTCTCTGGAAACAGGGCCAATGTGACTGCCAGCCGAAAGCTGTCTCCCACAGACACACAGCCAGGGCTCCCTGCAGCAGCAGCAGCAGCGCCCCAAACAACACCCAGCAGAGGGCCCCAAACAGCTTTCATCGCGAGGGTCGGACCGAAAGCAGGGCCGACTCTGGCCTTGCCATGAGCGCGCCCGGGGAACAACGCCCTCTTCAACTCAGACCGCTGGGTCTTGAGGCCAGGATGCTTGGAACCCTTGCGCGCCTCACTGAGACCTCGCGCCGAGGCGTGCGCCGAGGCCCCGCAAACTCTGCAGAACAAAAGGTCCGTTTGGTCCTGGCCTTGGTCGGTGACAGAGACCTGCGCCAGCGAGTGGCCCCTGACAACCCAGGGGACACCAGAGGCAGGCATAACAAATCGTCTAACTCCCTGGCTCGGCAGGTACCTTCACAGTGGGCGGAGGAGGGAGGCGCGGAGCATGGCGGGGGAGCTCGACCCCCACAGCCAAGGATCAATCTCCGAACGGCGCCACACCATCATCCAAACAGGCATGGATTAAACCAAGGGGTAAGTCCGCATCCAAAACAAGGTCCGCTACCTACGAGATCTTGAGAGTCCGGCTGTTCCAGCTCCCCATTAACTTATTGGCATCTGGTCTGCCACTTGAAAATGTCCAGGGCTATCCTTTCACACCCATAGACAAAGTCTAGGTGGTCCTGAGAAACGCTCCAGAGGCGCGCTCCTTTCTTGGCCCACGTATCCGCGAGAGCGTTTCCTATAATCAGCCATTCCTCATGATCCGAAGTGGGGGCACCGAGGTTCCAGTGAGCCTCAACTTTACAAACCGTGGCCAGTCTGCCGATGCCGCCCCACCAATCAACCAACATGTGACGACGAGGGCTGGTGGCCGAGAGGGCAATACTAGAACCTGTGGCACAATCTTACGCGCCTGAACAATATGTGTGGACTTGCGGCGGGTGGTCTGCCGATCCTCCCCAACCCGAACCGCCAGTCCTGGAACCGCGTGGAGCGGCACGGCGCCGTGCATGGCGCCGATCAGGTTACCAACTGGGTCGATCTGAACTACCGACTATCCTGCACGACTGAATCCCTGAAGGTGGGAGTGGAAGGCCGAGCCGTCCACGAAGACAGCACCTGAACATCTCCATCCAGGGAAGGTACCAACAAACCGGAGCTGGTCCTCCTGAGGAACCTCCTTGCAAGGGAAGCAGAGAAAAAGGGGAGGGAAAGAGGCATCTGGCCATAAGCTCACCAGTTTGTTTTCCTATCTGCTTTACATACTGTGCGGCCTGCGAGACATGCTGTGGACACTCCTCACGCCTGACATGAAGACACCTTGGGCAATCATAAAAGCGGTGCCACTGTGCACCTCTCGTGCCACAGTGGACGCAGGCATCAGACTGAGCCTTACCCTTGGAGTGCAACCTAGCTCGAGGCCAGTGGGATCCACCGGCCAGGCTCCGAATGGCAGCAGCACGGTGCTGCGACCAGCTGTCATCAGAGTCGTTGTTGATGAGACGAGTGAGGGGAGGCCAACTGAGAGGGGAGACCCAGGGCGCTTGGAGTCTCTCCATCGCCACGATGTCTGCAGCCTGTAGCGCCAGAGGCCTGACAATATCAACAGATAGCGCAGGAAAGAAGTCAGCAGTTTTGAACTCCCCAAGTCAAGGATGCCAGGGCACATCGGCAGCGGGCAAGGTGCAACCAATCCTGGCGAGAGACAGCACAACGGCCTGAGACGGGTCGACCACTTGAGACCAAGGCCTCTCCTTTTCAAGTAGACAGTGCGCGTCCTGAAAGGCAAGCCTGCAGCGGACCAAGTCCTGGAAAGACAGACTGTAACTCAATGCCCAATGCTTGATCGCGTCACAGACGACAACCATCCAGGGATCTCTGGTGGCCCCTCTGTGGGTGACCCGCAACCTGAGAGAAACCGAGGTGCCTAGTGTAACACGGCCCTCCCCTCTGAGAGTGGCTAGCCTGAGAGCAGCAAGCATCGTGTCAGCTATACCCGTGACAGCCGCCCCCCACACCGCCGTCGCCGTAGGAGAGCCCCTCATGATCGTGCTGACGCTTGCCCCCGCTTTCCTCAGGGCAAAGGTACAGATACAAAGATACAGAGAACGAGGAGGAGGAGGAGGTAGGAGGTGGGAGGAGGAGGTGGGAGGTGGGAGGTGGGAGGTGGAGGAGGAGGAGGAGGAGGAGGAGGAGGAGGAGGAGAGGAGGAGGAGGGGCACTTGCCCATTCGCGCCCAACGTGGGGGGATGCCTCACGCGGTTCGCCCGTTTCGGCGCCTCGGACTCGGACTCCTCCCGCTGGAGAGCGCCAGGATCACCGCGGTGTAGCACGCGTGGCACTTGGGCACACCCAGAGTGGAGCCGCCGGGGGGTATATGTCACGG